CCACACTCCTGGTTGTCCTAAAGCTCTCTACCCACAAAACAATCGATTTCCGGTCAGGAACCTGACCTCTGGGCTTAATTCTGAAGTGAGTACGGAACGCACGCTGCACCGCCATATAGGAATGGTTGTTCGAAAAACAGGCTTCGACAGCAAACGCACGCTGCTCACTTGTCCACCTCATGCTTCCTACTGAGGGGTATTAGACAGAAACTTCCATGACTGCTGCGTTCGCTGAGTGTATCCCCACTTTTCTGCGACCTCCCCTCCCTTCACAATGCATCTTCACAAAGAGGAAGTTTCTGCGCCCCACCCTGTACTTACAGATAATGTTGTGTCTTTATATTGTCTAGTTTTCGTGTGGTCTATTCTGCTGCAGGTCATTGTACTTCAAGGTTTCCAGCTTACTGTCTCAGGATGGGGAAGGGGATGGAGGTAGAGAAGAAGGGGTTATGGGCTGGCACAGGGGGAGGGAGAGGGGGTGGGGGTAGTGTAGAGGTGGGTAGAGGGTTCTGGGATGGGTTGAGTTGTGTGCATTTGAATTTGCCTTTATTAAGACATCACATATTGGGTTCCAGGTGTCTGTCAATGCTTCATTCATTTTCAATCCCCGTTCAGTCAACATATATATACAGGATGTTTCACGGCTTTATGCCATAACTGCAGGAGGTGATTTCCTAGGTCTTTGTGATCAAAAAAGTTCATATAAACATGTGTCCGATTTTGGATGGTTACAGAGTTATGACCATTTTAAACTCAGAATAGAAGGTAATGATTACCGACAATAAACGGAACAAAATAATAAACCTGCATAATACATGATACATTTAAAGTATGAATGTAAAGTTAACTTCGTGAAATTACCTTTAATTTGAATTTATTGGTGCTTAAAGCTGATTTTCGAAAATGCCACCGCCGGCTGCAACACAGGCTGCCGCTTGGTTGTGAACCGCACCGGACATACCACCCCACCCCACAGAAGGAATATCTCAAGTGTCGAGATAATGAGAGCGCTCTGTCTGTAGCTGGCTAAAAATAGCAACCTGACAGCTGACAGACGCAGTTCACACGAGGGTGTGTATGGGAATGAAAGAACGGTCATAACTCCATAACCGCCCAAAATCGGACACATGTTTACATGAACTTTTTTGATCACAAAGACCTAGGAAATCACCTCCTGCAGTTATGCCCTAAAGTCGTGAAACACCCTGTATACAAAAGTTTTCCAGCAAGCTTAGTATTTTTCCTTTTCTTTCCATGTGTAGTATTTTCATGGTCTTTTCCATGGTATTGTGGCTGAGAGTCATATCTAGTTTGTGTTGGCCAAACTCGGGTTTTGTCCATTTGTTTTTATTTCTCTAATACGTTCTTTACACCTTGTTCTAAATGTACATCCTGTTTGTCCCATATATTTAAGGGGGCAATCCTTACATATCATCTGATAGCAGCTTTTGCATAGCAGTGGCTGAGGGTAACCCTTCGACATGGTATTCCTTATTGAGTCCGCACGCAACTTATAAAAGTCCAGCTTCGATGAGACCAGTCATAGTACTTAGTGTAGCTCCGACTAAATCAGAAACAAGCTTGCATCCGACAAATGGATCAAGACACTTCACCGAGTTCAGCGATGCAAAATGTTGTAACAGTGAAGAAAAAATGTCCGATGATGTTATAAATTGTGAATAACTATGAGCGTAAAAGTAACTGTCCAATAAACATTTGTTCAAATCCGAAACCCACATAATTTCTAATCAC